TTTATTGGAAAATTGCCGTAAACGTGTGACATTTCATATTATCAACACTTTGTTAGCATTGAACTACAATTAAAAATCTTCATGTTTGAAGACATATATGTGACAACGGATGGAAATCATTATATATGTTTTGTTGCCGTCATATTTTCATCATGATGCTCAAGATGAAATGATTAATCATTTGTTAGTGACATGTTGTTGATATATTGCTGATAACATAACATATTACTATTGCTGACCGTTCCCAGATAACATTTGGTGAGAGTTCATATTGCCCTCATGCGTGATTATTACGTCGTGTGTGCAAGAATGCCATCATGTCATAACGTGATGGGAGCACAAGTGCGAGCGTAAAAGATGTCACAATCACGCGTGATGGAACATATTAGGCGAGTATAAAAAGTCGCACAATGCAATCACGTATGATGGGGATATAAGTGCATGCATATAAAAGTCACATTTTTGTTATGTTTATAATACATACATATATTATGTAGTATATATATTTATATGTAAATTATATATTCCATATATATTTCCATATATTCCAAATTTTAATAAAGCTTAAAAAATGTCAAAAATTTCAAAAATATACAAAATTTCGAAGTTTTCATATTTTTCAATATTTTCATAATTTCCAAATTTTTTGTTTTCCAAATTTTGAAAAATGTCTAAACAATCAAAATTTCCATATTTTTCCAAATTTTTTAAATTTTCAGAAATGTAAGACATGTCAAAATTATCGAAATTATAAAAATTTGCAAAACGTGATTGACCTTGTTTTTTTGCATAGCTCCTAAAATATGTTGATTACATACAATTTATAGATCGCGTGTAAGCGATACTTTTATGAAAATATTTTTGTTAAAAAATTTTTGCACAAATACTTTTTAAAAAATGCTAAAAAACACATCAAAACTGCAGGAGAAAAGTGAATAATAAAAAAAATAATAAACAATTTATACAGATTTTATTATGATGTTACAAAAGATTTTCATTTGCATTTATTCATTTGAAATCGTCAAAGTTGCGCGATTTTTGTCAGCGAATCGCAGCGAAGCATTTCTGCGCATACAATGGAACATTCCCGTCGAAACAGTTATAATTAAAAATGCAATAGTAGCTACCACGGTGATATGATGATGTAGCCTCTCGATATTTCACAAAGAAAAAACAAAATTTTCTTCAGATAGTGCCTGTTTAGTGCCTTTGGATTTTATTTTTATTTTTTGCATAATATAGTCGGTGTACGTTTTAGTAAGAGTACGCTTTACATAATCTTTGTAATTTGCATTTGTATATTATTGTTTCAATAATTTTTCAACACTTTTCTCTTCACAAAATAGTATAATTAAATATTTACTTTTTATTGTTACGAAATTATTATTAATATTATATTATTAATAATAATTTCGGTTGTATTACAATTATTATTATTATAATTGAGCTTCATTTAGTGTCTTTTTGCAGTGACTAAATAACATCTTTTGTTTCATAGGAAAGTTAATATCGAGTGAGAGAATCATAAGAGAAGAGTCATAATTTTTTTAAATAATTCAAACGGAAATTAGAGGTAAATAGTTAAACATATTCACATTTTTAAATAATATTACAGGGCCATTCCGAGTAATTGTGATGAAACCGATAAAGCCATTTCAATTCACATTCTTATAAATTTATATATTTAAAACCTCGATGAAATATCGATTGCCAAAAATAATTTACTCTTGAAATATTCTTTTTACACTCGGAAAATTATTTATTGTCCTAATATAATTCTGTATAATTATAATAAATAATATATATTCTGTAATATATATTCCTAATATATATTCTGTATAATGCTGAGCTTCCTTAATTTGTGTAATCAGCTCATATGAATAAAAATATTTATCTGATACCAATATTTATCTGTTTTGTTTTTATTCTAAAAACATTATGAAAATAAATAAGATGGCTTGATATATGAAAAATGTATATTTGCGAGTGAATGACCCTAAATTTAATTTATAATAAAATAGTATGTATCAGTTATTTAATTTTTGAGTGAATGTTTATATTATTGCTTATATGTACATCTGTATTATTAATACCTTACCTAATATACTTATCAGTTCTGGCAGTTTTCAAAACTGTTGCTTATATCTTTTTGTTTTCAAAAGCTTTAATGTACTTCATGGTGAATGAAAATAATTGAATTATAAAATAACAGCAAATAAAATAACAAATATAAAATAAATTTACAAATATTATTTATTTGATTATTAATAACTTAAAATAAATTAAAAGGTTCATACTTTAATAACGTACAAATATTTTTTAAAAAATATATATTTATATTTATTTATTTTGTTTAATATTATCTATTTATCATGTTTTATATTTATATATATTTATATTTACTTTGAAATATAAAATACAAACAGTTTTCATTTTAATGTTTTCACACTGCCCTTAAGAGTATTTTTGTTCTACTAATAATGAAAAAAAATGTGTGCCCAATTTCAGATCGAAAATTAACAAAAATAATTGAAGATGATTTTAATTATAATAAAAAAAAGAAATTTCAACGCATTAATGTTAATTAATAAATAAATAACTTGTTCTAAATATTGTGTAATTAAACAAAAATTTATTCACTTTGAGACAATTGTATACATTGTAATACATTAAATAATTGAAATACGTTGGTTCCATGTATTACAATTAAGTTTCTTTACTATATTTTTATTTTGCTTCATATGAACATTAAATCGCAAAAATTTTTTAAATTTGTTAATTAATTTCCATTTGCATTTATAACTTACTATAAATTCTAAGGTTGGTGACTTTTAATGTTTTCATGAAAATGTAGTTTTTATTTTAATATTGATAAAATATATAATTTTAAAACATATAATAATAGCATATTGCATGTTTTATGGAATCGAATAAAAGTTAAATACATAATCATCAAATTAAATACTCTTATTAATTTTCTTTTATTCGAATAAGAATCTGACTATAGTAGTTTTTTTTCTTTCAAAAATATTGTGTGACTTATGTGCTTGTTACATTTTGTATTTGCATGTGGTGCTGTTATTGAATGAATTTTGCAAGATTAATTCTAACTGTCAGTTCTGACAGAGTTCGTGCTTGCACTTGTTTCATTCAAATAAAATATTATAATGAGCTACATATTCACACATAACTTTCATGTCAGTACTTTATAATCACAGACACAAATTAGCGACGATGTCTACGAAATTTAAAACATTCCTTAACCTCAGTGCGAGGCACAAGTGGAGGCGTGTCTGCAAGGCAAGGTCGTCTAAGAGATTCCGAATCTGCAGAATTATGATGATTCTATTTCAGACGCTGTCTCAGAAAATGATCCTGTACTAATTTCAAACAACATCCTGCTCTACCTGCCTTTGAAGACGACTTACAAAATGATGAAGCACAATCTATTGATAACGACATGGAAGTCATTGAAAAAAAAGTGGGATACGATGAGAGCACTGGTGAAGAAAAAGAGGAAGAAGACCATGCTGAAAATAATGAAGAAAATGATGGATACAATGTAGATGAACAAAATAATACATCGAGTTCCTCAGAGAATGAAAACGATGATGTGGCAGAAAACCGTGTTAATTTGATGAAGAGTGCAAAAAATGAATAAAAAATGCATTTTTAGAAGCAAATTTAAACCATAAACAAAGAAATATACTCCTTAAAACCTTACATGAGCTCCCTTTTCACCTGATTCACCTGATTCTTCTCTCTAAGGACACAAGAACATTATTGCAAACACCCACTGTTGTTGCTACTAGACATGTTCAACAAATATGTGGAGGGGAATATCTACATATGGGATTGAAATCTACACTTATGAAAAAATTGGAAAGTATTCCTTATGAAATGTTGCCGAAATATATGGAAATAGATTTCATTACTGACGGCGCACAAATTTATAATAGTGGCACAGATCAATTTTGGCCTATTCAATATCAGAATTTTTAATTCCACGGATAAGAGGCCGATAATAGCAGGTGTATTTAAAGACAAAAAAAAAATCAAATGTTTTCGAATTTTTGATCAATTTGTTCAAGAAGTTGTTGACATAAGAGAAGAAAGTGGAATTCTTATATGTAATCGACGATGAATATGCTCGATGTTTCATTGCGGATGCACCTGCAAGGGCATTTGCCTTAAATCATTATGGACATACATTTCCAAACGCATGCTCAAAATGCAAAGTGGAAGGATATCGTTGTGAAGAATTAGGCTTTCGTAGAATTATGATGTTTCCAGGAATACGTCATCCATTAAGAACAGATGAAAAATATCATAATATGATAGACGAAGATCATCATAAAGGCCAAAGTTACATCCAGGTCCATTACATCCTGTATTAAGACTAATCACGCAAGTTCCTTTCGAACCCATACATCTCGTATATATAGGAAATATTAAGAAAGTTCTGCATACTTATATTCAAGGAAAATATGGGCATCAAAAATTAAGTAAGAAGAAATTGGATATTCTCGATTCGAGAATGATGAAATTGAAATTATATTATCCCATTGAATTTAATCGCCATTCGAATAAATTAAATATGTTTCATCACTTTAAAGATACCGAATTGAGACAACTGCTACTATACGAAGGTAGTCTGAAAAGTTTTGAGTCTATCATAGAAACAAGTATGTTTTCAGTCAAATATAGTTTTATTTTTCAACATAATCTTCTTTTAAGTAGATACACTTTTCCCATCGATACTCTAACCTCTATAACCCCTTCAAATAGTAGTTGGCATCTTGCTCCGCAAAATAGGCGTTTACGTATGCGATGACCTCCTCGTTCAATGAAAATCTCTGTTCTCCAAGCGAAACTTTAAGCTTAGGAAACAAGAAAAAGTCGCTGGGGTCGCCAGACTGGTGAATACGGGTGGTCAACCAATTCGAAGTGCAGTTCGTGAATTTTGGCCATGACGACCGCCGAAGTGTGAGCAGGTGCGTTGTCTTGATGGAATAGCACTTTCTTCTTCTTCAAATGCGGCCGTTTTTTTGCAATTTCTGCCTTCAGCTTATCAAGTAATGATGCCTAATACGCTCCCGTTATTGTTTTACTTTTTCAAGATAGTCGACACATAGTACACACAATTCCGTGACTATCCCAAAAAACAGTACGCCATTACCTTCCCAGCTGATGGAACCGTATTCCTTTTTCGGAGCAGGTTCACTTTGCAGTCCACTGTTTTGACTGTTCTTTTGTCTCTGGAGTGTAGTGGTGGATCCAAGTTTCATCTACAGTTATGGATCGACGCAAAAAATCTGACTCGTTTCGCTTGAACCGCTCCAACAGGGCCTTGGAAATGTTCATTCGAATTCGTTTTTGGTCCAAAGTGAGCAAGCGCGGCACCCAACGCGCGGATGCTTGCGCATATCCAATTTTTCAGTCAATATATGACAAACGCGTTCTTTCGATATGCCTATAGCTTCTGCTATCTCTCTAACCTTGATTCGACGGTCGTCCAGTATCATTTGGTGAACATTTTCAATGTTATCAGCGATGGTCGCAGTTTTTGGCCGTCCCGAACGCTCACCATCAGCCAAGCTGGTACGACCACGTTTAAATTCAGCTGCCCATCTTTTTACGGTGGCAAATGATGGGGCAAAGTCCCCGTAAACATTGTCCAACTCGATTTTAATTTCCGCAGGCGTATTGCCTTTCAAATGTAAGAATTTAATCACGACACGATATTCAATTTTTTCCATTTTTATAAAAACACTGACAGCGACTGACACAAATGACTGTCAAACAACAATTGAGCGTCCAAAATGGTTGAAATTTCCACAAAAGTCTTTCAAAGCATATACTATTGTAATACTAGAATGGTTTTGACGAGTAACGTCATCTTCATGTTAAGGCTCGAAATTTTTCAGACTACCCTCGTATACTGCTCCGGCTGTCCTACAAAATATTTTTAGAGAAGAAACTTATGATCATTTTCTTTTACTATATTGTGTGCCAAGAAGCTTTAGAAACCTATATCACTGTATATGTGTGAGCAGTTGTATGAAGAGCAGTATCTTTCATAT